TGACACAACTCAATACTGAATATATTCACTTGGAAAACATTCTCACTGTTGCTAATCATCATTCAAATTACTGCAGAGTCAAGGAAATGGAAAGGCAACTTTATTTTAAGCTCCAAAGATTTAGACATGTGCACACACATGGTAAGTCTTAACGACAGGGTAACTTTAAAACATCAAGGACAACCTCACAATGTGTACACCTAAAGTTAACAACAGAATTGCTATCCATTTCTAAAGACTTTGTAAAGGCCAACAACTGCACAATTTTTGCAGAACCAGCAGTAAATATCATCCATTCCCTCCTGTGCTTCTTTCCCCATTATTGATGTTCAAGGATAAGCCTTCCAGTGTCAGTGATTATTTTCAGAACATGTAATATGGTAAATCAGGGTCATATGGAGCCCCCGGTGGCTTTTTTTTTTAATCAATGGAGTTTTTCTCCCCAGTAAGAAAGGGGGAGACAAAAATACAATTTTTCATTGGTAGAAGCTTCAGGGAAGAGCTATTTTGCCATTTAATCCTTCAGCCTTTTCAAAAGACCCCAAGCCCCCTCCCAAAAAACACAAACAAACACCACCGGAACTAACTGTCCAGGCACTTTCTGTTTATATTTCTGCATTTCCCTCCCTGCATTTTCAGTCATCCTGTAGCACGTGGGGGTGCCTTTGGCTTCTTGCCTCCTCCTTTTGTAAGTTAAACCATGAGGAATTGGAATGTTCTTATATATAAATATCTAGAGGCACACACCTTGACTGTTGCCAGACCTCTATGTTTTATCCTCAATATGCCCCAGGAGTTCTTCCTACGGTACATTTCATGGACAGAAATGAATGACATGGCATATTTACCTGTCTCAATGAAGTATTTCTTTGCCTTATTGACAGGATCATCTGAATCCTCTGGTGTAAAAAACAACTTTACAGCTTTGACCTTTAAAGCAAACAAAGACAAAAATTATATATTACTTTGAGTATTCTTGAAGGTTTTTCTTTTAAACTGTCAGCAGCTTTGATCTGCAAGGGTCCCCTAAAGCCACTGGCCTTTCAGATTAGGACTATGTGAAGTAGAGATGGAGTATTCGTATACAAATATCCCCACACAGGTGGCGATAACGAGGGCCCACCCCCAGTGGCCAGACGGTCCATTCACCAATCCGTCACTGCTGCAGACGCCGCAATTCTTCCAATGGCTTCGCAGATCATGACTGGCTAGCCACTCCTGGCAGGAAGCAGGAGGACAACCCTCACTGCAAGGTTGAAGAGTGGCTGGCAGATCGTGATCTGCAGAGCCATTGGAAGAATCGCGGTGTTCGAGCAGCGACGGATCAGTGAGTGGACCGTCCGGCCCCATGGGGCTGGACCCTCGTTATTGCCACCTGTGTGGGGATTTTCATATACTAATATCCCCATTTCTAATTTGAAGGTGGCATTTTTTTGGGGGTATAACTCTATATATTCACATTGCCCCAGGCAATGCAGGAGAGTGGATAGGTAAGCAACTGAGGCAGGAATGGCGTTTCTCTATAGTGAAAAAAAAACAGGTGGTATAGTGTAAAACTAAGAATGGGACTCTGTCCAGCTATGAGTGGGGCAAACTGAGGTACCTCAGAGAGCTGTTGTGATTGTAAAAATAACCAAAGAGAACAGCCGCCTAGAGTGGTCTTATAGGCCAGATGGGCGGGGTATAAATCAAACAAACAAACAAACTAACTAACTAACTAACTAACTAACTAACTAACTAACTAACTAACTAACTAACTAACTAACTAACTAACTAACTAACTAACTAACTAACTAACTAACTAACTAACTAACTAACTAACTAACTAACTAACGGACGGTGCTTGACCTTTGTTACTCAGATGTTTATGGACTGCAACTCCCAGAAACCCCAGCCAGCACAGCTGATGGTGAAGGCTTCTGGGAGTTGCAGTTCAAAAGCATCTGAGTAACAAAGATTAAGAACCAGTGAACTAAGGCAACATTAAAAATAAGCAGTAATTACCAGCTCTTCATTCAGCAAAGCTAATCCAATTTGATCCGTCTGAATATTCTGTCCTAGGCCAAATCGTTGAGGTCCATAGTAATTTATAAAACCATTTTTCTATAAAATGAAAGACAAAAAAATACCAATGTTGCATTTGGAATTGTAGGAAGTATGCACACTTAAATCATAGAAGGCCTGGCAGCTAGAGAATATTTACCTTAACATTCTCAATTGCTTCACAAATCCTCTGTTTTAAGCTGGTGGAACAGTCATTATTCTGGAACTTCAAATTTCTCACTATGATATCAAAGTGATTTCCCTGCAGCTCACCAAGCCTCAGAGGCTGGCTTGCACAGTGAATCCCGGATACACTGAGTCCTTTTTTCCCAATTACTCTCCCAAGTGCTTTCAATCTGCAAGAATAAAAACACCACTTGACATTTCATATGACATTCTAGAGAATCTAGATAAATAAAGTTTATTAAAAAAACAAAAACAAAACTGAAGTACTTTTCATTTTATTTATTTAATTACATATTTATCCAGCCTTTCCATTAAAAACAACAGCACTCATGATGGTCACACATTCAGCTTCCTTTTCCTGGATTACTGCCTTCTTAGAAACACAAAATGAAAAATAATTTTAAGACAAACACATGGCTCTCTCTGTGCTTAAATTTATAATACAAATCAATGCCCTAAATCCAATTTAATGCTAATAGAATGGAAATCCCTACCAACTGAGTTGCCCTCGATTTCACTATTCCACAATCTGTTGTGCAAACTGTTGCACAACTGTTGTGCATCCAGCTATGTTTCCACTCACACATGCAAGTGCTTGAGCAAAAAGTTCAGAAGCGCATTCGAGACAGTGGTAACTCAAAGTGTGAAACCATTACTGCAACCAGTCTCATCCTAGATGGTGCCATATAGTAATTAGAGATGTGCCAATGCATATTTAATGCAATCTGAAGACTGATGTGTTACACCACCTGCAGAAGTGGGAAATGATTTACGCTAAAATCTATCACACCTCTATGGGAGGAGAGCCCCAAGGAACCCAACAAGACAAACTTTGGAGTGCGCGACTGCGCTGCAAAACCCAATATATGTCTTCCCTTAAGATTTAAACATGACATGGCCTACCAGAACTGGTTTAGCTATTCAGCTATCTGAGGTTTAAGCCGAACCTTGACAAGGTCTCATAGGCCAAAATCCTGTCACTTAGTGTAGCAAGTTGCACTAGATTAGGTCCATTGAGTCAGTGGGGATTTGGTGAGGCAGCTCCTTCGTAAGTGCCACTGATTGGACCTACTTTAGCCGACACTTACTTTAGCATAGGAAAAGCTGACTCACCAAATCCCCTCTGATTCAATGGGCCTATTCTAGTGCAACCTGCTACACTAACCAACAGGATTTGATTCTCTGTATAGCAGAGTGGGGATAGGCTTGCTGGTCTTGTGCCATCCGTTGTAAAACAGGCCATTTTCTGATGCAGCAAATTGGAATATAACCAAATCTTGTAGGTACTACACAATCTTACCGTAATTTGTGCAACATACTGGAGACACATAATATTCTAGCTATTTAGAATTTTGAAAGCAGCAACATTTACAAGTTATATGA